ATCTCATTAATCACTTTCACGGGTTTATTACGAATCAACTTAACGGCCTGCTCCCAGTTGGCTTGTTAGCTCAATTGGTAGAGCGCTGCACTAGTATCGCAGAGGTCAGTGGTTCGAGTCCCGTACAGGCCTGATTTTTTTCAGGTCTGATTTTCGCTATTGCATAAATAGCGCTATCTACTGCGAGGATCGTGCATCATACGTATCTAATACCGCAGTTCAAAATATATGAACTTCATATATTCATTGCATCTCATTTATCACTTTCACGGGTTTATTACGAATCAACTTAACGGCCTGCTCCCAGTTGGCTTGTTAGCTCAATTGGTAGAGCGCTGCACTAGTATCGCAGAGGTCAGTGGTTCGAGTCCCGTACAGGCCTGATTTTTTTCAGGTCTGATTTCTCGCTATTGCATAAATAGCGCTATCTACTGCGAGGATCGTGCATCATACGTATACGCATCACTATGACTACGAATTGACTCGACAGAATGGGTACGAATTAACCTGAAAGGGTAAGAAAGGACCGGTAACCTTTAAAAGCTGCATTAAAATTGACGCCGTGCAGACCTCTGGGTTTGAGGTGCACGAAGAACAGGGACCTTACCTTTCGTGCACCTCACACTCAAAATCCGCACAGTGCTCTTGTATAAAATAGTTTAACTATTGGGAGAATCTGCTGACCCATGCATAAAGCTTGACGGTATTCTATTCTTGGGAGCACTTGTGAGGTCTGGATAGGGCTCATCTGATAGGCGAGAAATATTCGCAGTTTTATAATGTCTGCTGAATAGAAGCGTCTATATAATAAATGGCTGGGATGTATGATCAGCAAAATTTATCTGATGGATCAGAAATGGGCTGAAATTAAAATTGCATGCATAAAAATTGTGCACACATTGCGGATATGAGCCGCTAAGAGATAAATATCTTTCGAGGCGCGAGGCTCTCCGGTGGTAGACCGTAAAGATTACTCATGTACAGCCCTGAATACAGGTTTAATATGATATCAGGTCAGTGGTATCGACATCTTACCCCATCATAATTCATTTTCAAAGTGTAGAAACGTGACCACTTTGCTTTTAAAAAAGATTAACATGGATTATGAATATTACCGAATTGTACGGTAGATGATATTTTATTTTCTTGTAAACGTTAAATGAAACGTCGTACTCTTCTGCGGCGTCTATTGGTAATTTTGACTCTGTCTGCAGCATATAGTCAAGTATTGGCGGTACCTTGTTTGTCTTGCTAGAGCCACTGTTGGTGTTGATCGAATACGTTCCTTTTGGGGATCTGCTGGGTTACCTGAGAAAGAGCCGTGGATTAAATGATAGTTACTACAAAGACCCAGATATCAAACCCCAAACAAATCTGACATCACAGCAGCTGATGAAGTTTGCCTGGCAAATCGCTGATGGAATGTCCTATTTGTCATCGATACCAGTGAGTACTGTAATCATTCTCTAAGTGGCGTCGTCAAAGAATAAGGCTCCATTTGTCTGTAACGTTTTTTCTTTGCTGAAGGTTATTCATCGAGATCTTGCAGCCCGTAATGTTTTGGTTGGAGAAGAGGAAACTTGCAAAGTGACAGACTTTGGAATGGCCAGAGATGTGCAAGAGGACAACATTTATGAAAGAAAAACCAGGGTATAAATGATTTTAAAAGAATAAATAATGTTCTTTTAAGCCATGTATTATGAATAGGTATGAATTATTTTGAAAGAATGAAAAATGTCATTTCAAGCGTTGTATTATGTGGCTGAAGATGCCTCACTAGAGTAATTGCTTAAAGAAAATCCAGTTCAGCTATCAGGAACGCTTGTTACAATGTTCTCGCCATTTGAAGCATTGATAGTTTTGGACTATTTTAACTTGTTATTGTTTCCTTATTCAGGGGCGTCTTCCCGTAAAATGGACTGCCGTTGAAGCGTTGCTTTACGGGAAATATTCTACAAAGAGTGATGTGTGAGTATAAGAACAACATGAAAACTGCATTTAGGCTTAATGAGAGTGGTTTTGTATGAACCGTTTACGGATCTGGGAAAAGTTATTGGGCAACTTTTGTATTTGTCTTTTTATTTTTCTGATATAAGGTCATCTCACCATGTTCGTATTGTGCTATGATCTTTTCACTATGTCCCCTCCCAACTCTCCACTTCCCACCGAAGCTTTTAAAATTCCTTTTTTTTTTCGCCGACAAGTAGCTTCATTTTCTAAAATTCATCCCATTTTTTCACAGTTGGAGCTACGGAGTTCTCCTTTACGAGATTTTTACAGTTGGTAAGCTACAAGGCTGATTAGCAGTCCAGTTATTTAGCCTCAGTAATATTAAGTACTTAAAAGAAGAGACGAAGTTATGAAGTAAGCATGGTGTACCAGTCTTTGAAGACCTCGACATGGTAAGTTTGATAACATGAATTGGTCAGGTTTCCGGTGTTCACCCCTCGTCATCCGCCCTGACAAAGGGCTAACGTTTGAAATGTCAGCTTTGAAACTCATTTTGGCGGCCAATTTACATTATCAATCCAGTTCATAAAACCAAATTATCTTGTTTTACTTTCAAACAGACACAAGACCACATTCTCCTTAAAAACTTAGCCCCTTTGCTACTTGTTATTGGTCTCACCAAGCCAGTTTAGATTGCCACAGTCGCTGGTCTTAGGTGAAAACAAGTTATAAATGGTACAAGAATGGTAGCGTTGTGTGGAAATAGAAAAACAGATGTAGAGCCTTTCATTGTACACTATGTTAACATTAGCTGCTCTAATTCAGGTGGTTCACCCTATCCACGAATGGATGGAAGAAAAATTGCAAACTTACTTCAAGAGGGATACAGAATGCCTAAACCACTACATGTAGATGATAAGTTGTATGTTGATATCGTGTTGCTGTTGTTGTTGTTTTTTTCTGATGGCTTGTGTCGTACAGAAGTATTTCTCCTGCTTTTATTTGAGATGTTGGGCGCCTCATTATTTCATCATCTATACTAACGGAGGGAAACGTAAGATGAAGTAGCTTATGACGAGTTTATCTTTGTGGTAAATGTGTGGATCTTTTCTCCTTTGTTCTAAATTAAAAACACTGAAAGCTTGTTTATCAAGGATAGGTCAACCTGTTTCCAATTAAACGTTTCCTTAATCACAGCATTTTCCGCGTTAAAGACGCTCCGGCCTCGGGCTAGGCCATCAACGACATATTGAGATAGTCTTGACGTGTTTGTGTTTTAGGTATGACATAATGACAAAATGTTGGAAAGACGACCCTAACCTTAGACCATCTTTTGAAAATTTGAGGAACGAACTCAAAGAAGTGGAAAACCAGCACAAGGTAGGACTGTAGTGTCTACAAAGGGACTTTCTCTGTTTTCTTTTTTTCTTTTTAAAGTTTGATTGTTAGAATCTACCACCATCAACTTTAATTGACAACGGCGTCATCATGAAGGCCTCGTGGCGTACTTTATGGATTCAATTTATCTCGCCTTTAAAGCAGTGTTCAATTGAGTATGGGAAGCGATCCTGAATTGGTTCTACTTTTGATTTACCTCGCTCTGTGATTGGTCTACAAAACTCATGTCATCATCTCACCAATCAAATGCAAAACTGAAACCAATCCCAGCTTGATCACACACATTTTTCTGCGCTTCAAGTGGCTGGGCTACCTGATTTTACTTTGAGTTCTCGTTGGTTAATTCTTTCATTTGATAGATAGTTGTAAGTACATTGGGTTCACTTCATCCTCGGAGACCCACGGGCTGAGTCGATTTCAAGTTAGGGCGTGAAGAGCCCCTGGGGACATGGTCTTACAAGACTAGTTCCAAACGGTCGCAGTCGTTCTGCCATCTGATTGGTGCCAGAAAATATTTGTGTTTTTCTGCCCAATCAGAGTGAAGTGTGCTTTAGAGTTCTTTTCGTGTGTTTTAACACGGATATATACTAGTAGCTCAGTTGCTCGGTATGTTTGTTTGCACCGTGCGACGGAGATTTGCTTGAGGTGAAGAGTTTCAGTCTCGGCACACAATGTAAGAGAAATCGATCAGATTGTCAGCGAAAATCTTACCGGAAATTATACTGAATACTTTCGCAGGTATCACTAGAGAACGTGTTTTAAAGTTTGCGAGGTTTGTCTACAACACGATGGTTGCAGTCATTGATATGTCGCTTTAAACGTCTAGATTTTTTGCATAATTTGCTGTGACTGAAACTTTGCCAATCCCGTGAAGTTATTTCGTCGCACGGGCCACGCAGGTATGTCGAGCAACTGGCGCTTTCGCCTACGTAGCTTTCTGCTTTCTGTGCGCGCCAAAATCTAATCTTAGTAGTAAAGTCGTTCACAATACGGCCAAGGTTGCAGAGAACGTTAAGTTCGTGGACGACCTCCAGCAAGTGCTAAGAGAAAGCTTAGCTGTGTTTCCGGTTAGCTAATTAAAATCTGAACAAAAACTTATTAACGAGAACATCGTGGGAAGGAGAGATGTTTTCGGGCAGTTACCGAAGGGGTTTGGAAAGAGTTTAATCTTTCAACTGCTGCCTAGAGTGTTGAAATTCTTGAGCTAGGANACAAAGATTTTCTGGCACCAATCAGATGGCAGAACGACTGCGACCGTTTGGAACTAGTCTTGTAAGACAATGTCCCCAGGGGCCCTTCACGCCCTAACTTGAAATCGACCCACAGCCCCTGGGTCTCCGAGGATGGGTTCACTTTTTCGACACTGAAAACTGCCCTATCAAGAATTGATTATGTCCGCAAGATGCTCTCATTCTTGGTTGTTAAAAAAATAATAAATAAGGGAACCATCGAAAGCTTAATAGAGTATACAATAATTTATACCTGGTTCTTTTAAAAGTATCTTCTCTCATTTCTCTACAGGGGTTGATAAACTTAAAAAATTACGACGATCGACTCTACGTAAATGTTGACGATCTAGCCGAGTAGGCGAGTGAATTCTCAAACAAGAAAGGATGGAGTATTGAATATTGCAGCCCTATGAGATTATCTCATGGGATTATCGTATTTCACATTAACCCATATTTTTTGCTGATCAAGCAATTCTTTAAAACATGCTGTTTAACAGCGAGACAAGGCAAAGCGCAGCTTTCCCATATTTTGATATATCTTTTTCTACTAACACAGTGGAACCCCTCAAAACCGGACGCCCTTGGTACCGGAGGAAATGACCGGTTTAGAGGGGTGTCCGGTGTACTGAGGTTTTACCCATAAGGCATTTTTATGCAGCATAATGTACTGTCTGACTGTAAGTACCAGTACGTGGTACACGAGCAGTAATAAACCACACCAGTAAAGGAACCAACAACATGAATGACAAGGAAGCTTTTGGATGTCATTTTATTTAATCTACAAAAAAATTCCGTGTTACACACAGGGTAATATGATCACCGCTTTTAATTCATTTGTAGACTTCTTTCTTCTTTAAATTATCACCTACAGTTTTACCGATCCCAAATTTACCGCTAGCGCTTAGAACCTTCAGTGTTGGTTTAGGCACTGATTCCGCGCATTTGATCAACTCAATTCTCTTCTCTAACGATAACTCGATTCTTTGGCGTTTCGCTGGTCTCTCAGACATAGGGATGTTTGCTACTTCGTTTGCTTTCGCAAGCGATTTCATCCGCAACATGACAGTCTCTTAATCTGACCTCTTTTGTTGTCTTTCATTCAACCCAAGAACTGCGGTACGTTTGTCGACTTCAGATTTTTTGCTTCAGTACCGATAGAACAATGACTAATTAGCCGATGCGCGTTTCTCACTTCTGATTGGGATTTCACAGCTGCATAATTACGATTTTAATTTTAATCACGTTTTAAAACGTGTGATTTGATTTAGGCGGCAAGCATAAAACTTTCACGTCCGGTTAAGGAGGTCAATTTGTCAGTATGTTCTAACGGACTGAAAAAAGCGTCCGGTTTCCGGAAGTGAGGGGTTCCGGTTTATTGAGGTTAAAAGTAGAGAAAATGTAAGACAGACATTTTGGGGCCGAAAAAAAGGTCCAGTATAGAGAGGATTCCGGCTTAATGAAGGTCCGGTTTAGAGGGGTTCCACTGTAGTCTTGAAAAGACAAACAATTTTGTATGTATTGTATTTTATTGTATTGTATTTACGAATATTTATACAGGGTTCGCTCCGACGAAGGGCTAACGCTCGAAACGTCAGCTTTTGTAATCGTTACGGTGGCCAATTTACCATTTCAACTTTGTTTATACAGGGTAGCCCAGTTCAGCGAATTTCTGGTTTAAATGGGGCCCTGTGAAACCCTCCCGTCCCACCCCAGGGGAGGACATCCACCACACAGTAATCTCGTGCGTGGGAAATTAACGTCTCCTATCCCTAACCCTACAGGAGACGGGGCCTACGGTTTATTCGTCCTTATCCGAGAAGACTAGAATATCTATCTATTTCTTGATATTATAGAAAGGTAGCAAATTCTCCTCGGTTCTTTTAAGCTCATGAGTATTGGTCCGGCCGGGGCTCGAACCCTTGACCTTCCCGCATAACACAATCTGGCCCTCTAATCAAGTGAGCTAACCGGGAGGCGAGATTAGAAGCTGCAACATGATTTTTCCCCCTTGTTTATTCAGCTTTTACAGGAAAGATGGAGTATTGAATATTGCAGCCCTATGAGATTATCTCGTGGGATTATTATATTTCAAATAAACTCATATTTTTTGCTGATCAAGCAATTTAAAACAGGCTGTTTAACAACGAGACAAGCCAAAGCGCAGCTTTCCCATATTTTGATATATATTTTTCAACTAATAGTCTTGAAAAGACAAACAATTATGTAAGAACGAGATTAAAAGTTGCAACATAATTTTTCCCCTTAGTTTATTCAGCTTTTTAGTGTAATTGCTCCGGTGATTATAGAGATGAGCGCGCTCTGATTGGTTGAGGATTGTGTCGTATCTCGGTTCTAGCAGGGGCTCAAAATTCTAAAATGGCTGCCTCGCGTTTTGTCAGTGTTACGCAGGAAGTGAAAAACGTGACAAAGGATAATATAATTCTGAAGAGCACAAGAGATGCTAAAAAGTTAGGCGTAACACCTTTCAAAATAAAGATTTGAAGTGATAACTGTTGCAGAAATTCAAATTTCTGAGATAGTCATGAACTTGGTAAAACTCCTCATCCGAGACCAGCGTGCGGGTTCGTTATTCAGAAGTGAGAAGCGCTCGTTTTTTACGCCCCACACAGTCTCGATTCTCTTCAGTCTAAATAGTTCTCCTGTGAAGATTAATTCGTCAGCTATTATCCCCACGCCTTATTTACACACTCTGACAATAGTTTGACTCGACAAGTAATGATAAAAGGGACTTTTCAAACTCCACGACTACAGTATTTACTGGCCTTCAAAATCTTGTAAGAAGTAATAGTGAATTCACAGGGTTTTTGATGTGGTTTTTCAGTTTTTTTGTATGACGTATTTTTAAACCCCACAAAAAGGTCAAAATATGTGTATTCCCTCTGAGTATTTAATGAAAGTCAAATGCCTCTAATTGAATATACTTCAACTGTAAATAGAACTGAACAGTAATATTGCTTCAATCTACTGATTTTTGACAACTCCCATTGGGTGATCATTTGGCAGCAAACTATGACTCGGTACCAATAATAGCTGAAAAATTCCCTTCCATTTAGGTTATCAGAACCCTTCTAGTCAAAGGCAAATACATTACCTACTAAGGTTTGTAACAGCCTTGACAGTCCTTGAAGATGCTTCAATTTAAAAATAAAAAATTCAAGGCCTTGAAAGGACTTGAATTTGAGGACTAGGGCTTGATTTTTGCAATGCTTTTTCTTAAGCAATTTTCAAGTTGAAAATTACAGTACTTTCATGGAAAAGCTGAGAAATAATATTAAATAATCTTAAAATTGCTTATGCAAACCTTTCCAAAAGGGGTACTTCAATTTTCTTAAACTTAGCCTTCAAAGTCATTGAAAAGTCCTTGGATTTTAAAGGCCCACTTCCAACCGAGATGCCCTGCGCGCCCGGATCATTTTTCGCATATGAAAAATACGCCATTTTCCTCGTAGTTGCGGAATCGCTTTGGTATCTTCTTCCATCTTACTAATCAGGGCTTTCAAAGTTCCATCTTGAATCATGTGCGAACAACAAACTATCGTAGTATCCATATCAGTAAATAGTTTTTAATTCTTACATGTAGGACGGTGAAAAACGTCATTTGAAGAGTTTATGCCGCCGAAGAAGCGGTCAAGAGGAAGGCCGAGTCTGCCCGGCTCGGCAAAGGTTATTCGACTTCGAGAGTCTGTGTATGATTTATGGAGGGCAAGGAAAACAACCATGGGTTTCGGTAATACTACAGACAGTGCTTTTGCAGAAATGTTATTGCATTATTCCTACGATGGAACTAGAGACTCCGGGGAGATATTTTCGAGGTGAGAATAATTATTTGACTGATTTTTACTTGAGATCTTGAGATATAATTGAAATGCGTAAAATCAGTTTTGGCCAATATTGGTTATTTTTTTATATTTTAATTACTGTTGAAGCCGAACAATTTCCTTCAACATCAGGTAAGCTTTGTACAAGTTTTATACACAAACTCGATTTATGATTTTTCAGCCTCAAATATTTAGCTGCAAATTTGTTTACTGTGTTCTTCACCAAATCTTTGCTTTTATTTTTTGTAGTGTTTGTGAATGACTATCAGAGTTCGCCAGTTAACAATAGCGCGATTCCAAAACGACTGCAAAATATACAAATATATAAAGTCACATACCGTTCGCGGTAGAACCGCACTAAAACTTTTGGAGCGATTTGGGAACGGGTCGTTCCGCGAAATTTACGAGAGATCAATTTACGAGCGATCCCTCTATCGCGAAATATCAAGCGATACCTGCTATATCAAACGAGTTATGTCATATTATGTTTACATGTAAACACAACCGTGTATTTAGACGTGATCGAGGCTCAACTGCGGAATACCCTGCCAATCCAGAACACATCTAGAATCTGTGGCTACGCGGGTACGGAGCTACACAGCTACGCAGGTTAGGGTTAGGCTACGGAGCTACACAGTTACACAGCTTAGTGGCCTGGCGACCTGGCCACCTACTACGCAGCGCGCGCAACAAAACTCTTTCTTCAAATAAACAGGTCTTGTAACTCGGGCCATCATGCTGCAAAACTGTCTCATATCATGTACAATAGCTACAATTAACACAACTCAAATTTAAACGTGTTCATATTTGCTCTTACACTGCTCGAGCCGATTCCATAATATTCTTAGATATTTTCAGGACGCACATTCCTCTAATTATTAGAATTTGCTAATTTTTTTTAATATCATTTAAAAACACCTTCCATAAATCTCCTCTGTTGATGTATCGCCATTTGAACTCAGCTATGTACGATGAGTAGTGTTCTTTTTCACGACCGTGCGTCGGAAGCTTCGTTTTCATCTGCCGCCAGTGCCCCTCTATCTTGTTTGTATGGAAACCCTCCTCGTTAACGAACTCCACAGAGTGGTTTACTTTCTTATGGATGTATCCATGTATTGAAAGGTTTACGTAACCCTTCCAGCAATCGGACACAATTGTTGTTCCTGGTTCAATCCATTCTCTCATTACATTGAGCAAAGTTTCCTCCTACCTGTCTTCTACGGTGGCAATAAAACATTTGCGGGAATCTTCCTCGATGCCACCAAAAGCCCACTGACCCTCCGCTACATGGCCACGATGGTATTTTCTCTTTCCAATTACCACCTTCCCTGGACCACCAATTTTCTCTCTTCTATCGAACAACGCCACCTCACATACTTCACGACTAAACATGTCCCAGTCAACTGCTGTGTGCGAGCCAAGTCCAAGTTGCTCCTTAATTTTCCAGTGCTTTAAGTCCTGGCACCACCAGTGCGTCAATTTTAAAACCTCTTCAATTGTCAAGTTCGAATCTTCAAACCAACTTCCCTCTCTAATGCTCCTCTCACATCTATGCCACTTACCATTAATATGCCTTCTACATTCCCAGATGTAGCCATCCGATCGATCTCCCCACTGAACCCAATTCATTTCTGATCCACACATAGTGTTTACTAAAAAAACATTTTATTCTATTTCACTCGATTACAAGACCAAACCTTAAGCGAACCACACTCCCTATTTATATACGAAAATGGTCGATCGCAAATAGCACAAAAGGATCTCGTAGTGCAAAGAATTCTAATGAACGCCATGATCCCACTGATTAACGCGATTGTCTCCTGCTCACACACTAATTAGCGCAATTGTCTCCTGCTCACATGGTGCAAATTCTACTCGACGCAATCAGCCCTTCTTCCTTTAGCCAAGACAGCGTAAGCCGCCTCCCGGTTAGCTCAATTGGTTAAGCGCCGGACTGTTGTGCGGGAGGTCGAGGGTTCGAGGCCCGGCCGGACCAACACTCAGGGTCTTAAAATAATTAAGAATATGCTACCTTTCTATAACATCGATCAAGAAATGGTTAGATATTCTAGTCTTCTCGGATAGGGACGCATAAATGGAGGTCCCGTCTCCTGCAACTATTAATTAGTTAATTTGGTTAGGCAGGGAACGTTAAATAACCCACTTCACGAGATTACTGTGATGTGGTCCGGCCTGGTTACTGGGAATAGGGGGGAGGGGGCATCTGTTATATTCGCTTTCATTTGATTGTAAACTGCTTAACAGTCTGGTAAAGTCCTCCGTACAGTGTTGTAAAGCGCCATGAGTTTAAGATATGAGCGCTATATAAATACAAGTTATTATTATTATTATTATTATTATTATTATTATTAAGCTCTCTGTCCCACAGGTAATTTCTTAGCAGATTCTCGTACGATGTGAAGTTTTCTTTCTTCTCATTTCTTTTATAACTTGCTTGAGCACTGCCGCACTGAGTGCTTTGATCTTTTAAATCTGCTTTCGAACAACCAGTTTGCACTCCAAATGTCTTACGACATACAACAGTATACATTTTTCAACACATTTTCCTTACCCTGCGTGTATTAGTACCCCTCACTGAGCAAAAAACAAGTCAAACAAAGAAACTATAGAAACGCTAATTTCTTAAATTTTCCCATCTCTTTCTAAGTGTTCACGATCTTTATTCCTGGAGCTTATTACACTAAACTACAAATAATTAAACTTCAAACCCTTTGTTTAACTGCG